CTTGCACATGAACATGTACTGCGTCACGCAATCACCGCACAGCATATCAGCATGTATCAAAGAAAGACATCCATTTTTATCGTAAATTCAGTCTATGGAATCATCCACAAACAGATGCTTCGTCGAGTCATTAGGGTCATTACAGCCACTACCAATTATCAGTCTTAACGATAGTCTGGCATCCGGTTCCTCCAATAAATTCCCGGGCTTCAGTTTCGGTCTTGACAATTCGCAGCTTCTCCCCTGCACGGCCTTGATCTATTCGCAAAACATCAGTGGGGTCGATGACAACCACACTCTTCGTTTCCACCAGCAGCCGATAGATGTCTTCTTGGATGACCCGTCGAGCGACTGCGTTGAAGGAAAAGACGTCCCGGAATGAGAAAACAACAGCGCAGACTTTGTGGTAGCGGCCAGAGCCAGGATCGTCAGGGTTTGGGGCGCCGAGTTCGCGGGAGAGTGCACGCGTGAGGCGCTCCGAGCCCGCAAAGCGAACGTTACCTCGCATGCTGAAGACGGCTACCTCCTGATTGCAGTTGGGGTGGTGAGGCTCCTTCTCGCCAGCAACTATGGTGGCCGCAAATGTGCGCACAGTGGCCACGGCGATTTGGCTGACGTCCATCATATGCAGCCCCATGTCTCGGGACAGCTGCTCACATATAACCACGCCTCGCACGCTATTGCCACGCTCATCCAGCTTGGGGGAGAAGGTAGCGATGCCGACCTGGCCTGGCAACGCTCCGATGATGCCACCAGCTACACCACTCTTGGCCGGAATGCCAATGTTGGAAACCCAGTCTCCTGCGGCGTCGTACATGCCGCAAGTGGTCATGACGGACAAGACTTGTCTGACACTTGTTTGGGGGATAATAGACTCCCCAGTGACGGGATGGATACCTGCATTGCAGAGTGTCGCGGCCATCATTGCCAAGTCGCGGACATTAACATTGATAGAACACTGACGAATGTAACCCGTGACGGCCTCGCGCGGGTCGCCATGGATGACGCCGGCAGCCTTGAGCATATAGCCAATGCCCATGTTGCGATCGGCGTCCCTCAGCTCCGCCTGATACACCTCCTCGTCGACCTGCAGCTGCCTTCCCGCCAGCTTGGAGAGGATCTCCAGGATGCGATCGGTCCTCTGCTTGGCTGTCGCGTCCGGCCCTGCGACGAGAGAATGCGCCGTGATGGCCCCAGCGTTGATCATGGGGTTCATCGGCCGGTTGCTACCCCGCTCCAGCGACAGCTTATTGAACGCGTCTCCGGAGGGTTCCACGCCGATCTTCTCAAGCACGCGCTTTAGGCCGGCGTCCTCGATTGCAATGGCATAGACGAAGGCTTTGGAGATGGACTGGATGGAAAACTCGACCTGGTCATCCCCAGCTGAGTAGATTTGGCCGTCTACCATGGCCAGGGCGACCGCTATCTTTGACGTATCGGCATTGGCCAGCGTCTCGATGTAGTTGGCCGGAGCCCCAGAGTCGTTGGGCCGGGCATTCTCAAGCACCTGGTTGAGGTAATCGGGGATCGGAGACTTCATTGTTCCAAGTGTGAGGGGAAATGCCTCTGTCGAACCTGGGCCTGTCTCATCTGGGCGTCATGAGTATTTAAACCGGACAGCCCAATGTTGCTCAGCGTTTGGCATAGCTTATCTAATGAGTTATTAAGGCTTATAGATCCCTCAAACTAGCACGTAAGTGAACACCGACATAAGACAAAGCCCTCTGTCTCCCGAGTGGCGGCCAATCTCTCAAGCTTGGCACCATTCAGCGTGTTCTGGCCCCGTCAGCTAATGCCGGTGTGAATCTCTGAGGTAACATTCCGTCCTATAAAGACCTTGGAACAGATTCTGGTGCCCCGAGACATGCATTAGCTCTTCCATCCATGACGTAACTCCCCCAGTACGAGAATAAGCTTGTTCCAGCTCGGAATCCAGCCTGTCCAATCCCAGCACCAGCTCGTGTTACACTGCCGTAAATCAGTGGCTCTGTGCAACGTGCAATTGTGGCCTAATCCTCCGGCATCAGCCCAACGAATATGCAGGACGAAAACGAAAATCCCTTTGGCTATCGGGCATTTTTCATGTAACTCCCGATAATACTTTCGCATGGGGATGACTTGAGATAATGCGGCGACAGAGAATCAAATGCCCAACGCGGAGCCGTTTTTCCTACCCTATACCACCTCTCATGGCAAGAGGCACGCTCTCTCACCTATTGTCTCATTCAGGAAACATGGATTATTAAGATCGTGATGTTATATCCACGCATACATCGCTACTAAAGCTTTAAGAAAGGTACATCCGTGTCATAGTCTTCGTGTTGTGTCTAGAATCTCAAGTATTCTCAAAAGAGAGTACTCCATGAGTATCTGACAAGAATGTATTCATGATTCAGATTGATATTCTAATGAAGGCAGTATGAGTTCTTTAGAAAAGATTCAAGGTGAGTAAAAAGAAAGATAATAGTTGAATAACGATACAATGAGTGCAGCAGATTGTCTTTTGAAATAGGGCACATGATTTATTTAGACTCAATCTTTTTCGTCCTCCTAGCTAACATTGAAGATAATGACCGCTCGCCAATAAATGCTAAAGCTACTCCTCATGCAAGATTCCGATCCTGGCAATACTTTGTCACCTCCTTCCGTAGTTGGGCCTTCTTGGTCACAACGTTGGTCATAATGTTCCGAGCCATGATGAAATCTGCTTCCGAGAGAGGCAGCTTCTCGCTCCAAGCTTCGGACTCCAGAATGACCGAAAGCCCAGAGTCTTGTGTCACCTTGTCCATAAGCTCCATAACAGCGTCCAGTTGGTTGGGTAGCCAGGTGATGATTGGGCTGCCGCCGGTGGCTGTAGGATGAAGCGTGTATTTGATGATGTACTCGCGAGTAAACATCCAATGCCTCCATCGGAAACTGCGGATATGGTCCAGGACCCGGAGGTACTGGATGACAAGCTCCATATCACCAGAGCCGGTCATGAACCGACGGACACCCAGTCGCGACGATGTTTCGCGGACGTACTTGAGGAATTCTCGATGAGGCTTTGGTCGATATTCACGGAACTCGACCAGGATATCAGTGAGAGGGTTAGGTGGCATGGGAATCTCGCAAAGATGGTCCAGAAGAGGAATGATCGCGTCGTTTGCCCCAGATTCGCCACGGAAGAATTGTGGCTTATTATCAAACTGGCCCTCGTAAACAACCCCATCAGGGAACATGGATTGCTTCGTAATTCCATAGATGAAAGTCCGGTATGCCATGTAATCCTTGGGAAGAGAATTCTTCCACATGCTCTCCATGTTTGTCTCGATGATTTGCATGGCGTCCAGAATGAGCTGCAGACCCTTCTTGGCGGCGGAAACATCATCCGCTTCTCGATCTGTGGAATATGGTTTGGAGTCGATCGCCGACAGAAGATTGACCGCACCTTCGATGAGGCCGCCTGTCTCCGCCACCATGTGAATATGGGTCAAGATGAACCCTGCCTCGGAAGACTTGGGATCGAGCCCTTTCTCAAAGGCACGGACAAGGCGCAGGTTTTCGTAGTCTTTGTGGCCTTGCTCGGGATGGACGAGGTAATAATTGTAGAGGGCATAAGAGGCGGCGTAAGACATGAAAGGAGGGATATCGAGGCTGTACCGACCAGTTAGCTAGAATGTTTCAAAACCGAGCGATGCATCATGCCAACTCACATTTCAGCACATTTAGTCAACGGTCCCGCGATACATATCGGCAGAACCTGGCGCCCTAGGCCGTACCCGTTGTCTTTGTTGGCGCTGTATGTCTCCCAGCAGGGCTCAAGTAGATAGGACGAGGCGACAAAGCTGTAGTCGCGAAAGGCCGCGGTAACGGCCGCCATGTCGCGCTTATCTGTCCCTGGAATAAGTAGACGGTCGATCTCGTGAGTGAGATCAGGCAGGGCGCCATTGTCTATCAGGGGGCCGAGCTCGAAGGTAGCGAGCAGCCCCGCGTTTCCATCCTCCTTGACAATGGGCATCTGGTGGAGAATTTCCGTGAGGGCGTCAAATGCACTTGGCAAAGTCCTCAAAGGTAGGTTGAAGGGCAGGTATCCGTTGCGAGTAGTGATGGTAAAAGGGTCCGCGCCCTCCGGAAGGTCTGATGGATCCTTCCGGAGGTAGGGGAAGAGAGTCTCGGCGGACGACATGTGAGTTGGAATGAATAAGACTGGTTTGATCAGGATTATCTGTTTGTATCTACAGTGGCTTGCTCAACAGCATTCCAGATTCTGAAGAGGGAGACAGTCGATGATTAAATAGATGTTTTCCGAAAGTGTCATTCACTCACTAGTTTGAAGTCTTTCCGCCCTGTCCATCCCTTCACAAAGCTTCCGGGACAACTTGCTCCATGTGACCCATTTTCGCTTTCGGGGATCTGGGGAAAGGCCCTGGAATTACGTATCTCAAGCCAATGAGAATGTGACATTTACAAAGCCAGAGATACGCCTCATGCACGAGCTTTATCCGAGTGTCGACAACCATCGTGACATGGACTAGCAGCAATCTTAGCTTCCGCCCTGCCTCGACACGACCCCGCATAATCTCGACAACGCCACTGGCAAAGTCGCCACGCCTTGTGTCAACATGATAAGGCATGATGCGGGGGGGGGAAGGGTTCCTAGCGCATTCACGCGGTCGCAGAAGGTTATCATCGGCATCACGAGACCTGTTTCCGCCCTTTGTCAACATCGATTAGCGCTGATTGGCGAAGGATCTAAACGAAGGTTATCTCGATGGATTCAGTAGCATTCGGCTAGTCTAACCTTCGATACGAAGACAACTCTGAAGTCGTTGTCAAGTTGTGTTGACGTGTCCTACAATCCATCACATGGCAATCTAGCGGTAGGGATTAAGGAATATTGTGAAATCAATCAAATCTTTTATTATTACTTGCGTATCCCAATGTTTCCATGCGACCAATACGTCAACGAAATTGTACAGAGAACGTCTCCCATTTCATCCTAAAACTAGTCATTCTACTCACAGGAGCATGGCTGCGAGAGCGGCAAAGCCAGCGGCCACACCGGCACCGCCAACGAAGCGGGCAGCTCCGGCCGTGGGGATGGAGGTAGGGATGACTGGCGAGTTGATGCTTGTGCCGTTGGCGGGGTGCGAGGGAGCAGCGGTGGTGGTGATGAGGGTACCGGTGGGGTAGATGGGCTGGTTGGGAGAGTTGGAGGAGACAGCACCGGAGGGAGAGCCAGTAGCGGTGGCCGTGGCAGGGGCAGAAGGAGAAGCAGGAGGCCAGGGGATGGTGACTCCAGGGACGTGGCAGTTGGGGGAGCCAGGTCCGCAGTTGGGGGCGGGAGTGCTGGTTGGGACGTCGCTGCTGGCAGGGACGTTGCCGGAGCCAGTGCCGGTAGGCTTGTTGCCAGCAGAGTCAGTGGGCTTGTTGCCGTTTCCGCCAGTAGGCTTGGGGCCGTTGGAGTCGGACTTGGTGGGCAGCTCAGAGACAGGGCAGACGGTGGTGTAGGCGGGGACAGTCTCGGTCACAAGAACGGTCGAGCGGGCCGGGCAGTTGGTAACAGTAGGGGCGCACGAGGTAACAGTGTGGACGACGGTGCTGTAGACAGTCGACGTAGTCAGCTGCTCCTCAGACTTGGTGGCAGAGCCGGACTCGGTGGCAGATCCGGACTGGGTAGCAGATCCGGACTGAGTGGCAGATCCAGCAGGGGTTGAGCCAGGAGTAGTGGGTGCCGAGGAGTGAGGAGTGGTGTTGCCAGGGGTGGTAGCGGCCGAGCTAGTAGCCTGTCCAACGCTGGAGTTGCCGCCCTTGGTGGAGGAAGGTGATCCTGAGCCGGATGAAGACTTGGACTCGCTGCTGGAAGAGGAAGCGGCGGAAGAGGCAGCGGAGGAGGACGAAGCGCCGGCGGTAGTGGAAGCGGCAGACGACGAGGTCTTTGAAGCGGAGGAGGTAGAGGCAGCGGAGGACGAGGAAGAGGAGCTGTTAGACTCGCCCTTGACGACCTTGATGCTCTGGTACGAGCCAGACAGGTCAGTGTACTGGTACTCCTTGATGCTCTCAGAAGGAGCGCTGTCGCCTCCGGCATAATCGGTCACAGTGACGGACTTGTAGTAGGCATCGAAGGGGGCCTTCTTGAAGTCAGCAATGCCACCGGCCCAGTCAATGGTACCCTGGTTGTTGCCCTCGTAGCCAGCAACCCATGTGCCGATCTTGATCTGACTGGGAGTCTGAGGGAAGCGAGTTCCTCCCTTGGCATCAGAGTACTTGAGAGTGCGGATCACGACATCGTCGACAAGCCAGTCGATCTTCTTGGAGGTCCAGTCGATGGAGTACTTGTGGAAGTTCTTCACTGGGGAGTAGACATCGTGGATGCCACCACGGTCCCAGCTGGAGGTATCACCCTTTCCGAAGTAGTTGGTCTGAACGTGGTAGTCGTCTCCTCCAACCCACTCCAAATCGATCTCATCCAAGTCCGCGGACTGGAGGACAACCGAGGTAACAACACCGACGCCAGGGGCGGCCTGGCAAACAACATCGATACGACCAAAGAAAATCCACTTGTTGCTGGCGATGGTAGGTGCCTGGCCCAGAGTGTCGATGGAGAACTTGGCTCCCTTGTCCGCGCTCAGATCGTACTTGAAGTCGTAGGTCTTGGTGAAGTCGGAGCAGTCGCCCTTGGTGTAGTCGCAAGAGATCTTTTGGTTACCCAGAGCAGCCGCGGCAGGGCAAGCTGATCAAGTATGTTAGTATCCATTTCAGTTCACTTATTTTTGTTAAACATACCCTTCTTGGTAGGATCGCAGTCAGTGAAAGTCTGAGCTGAAGCGGATGCGACGAGCGCAAGAGCCGCGAACAATGATTTGGACAACATTTTGTATGACGTCCGGGTAATCGGTGTAATAAATTAAGGTTAAAGAGAGAGTTTGAAGTAAATTAATGGTAATGGATAGTGAGTGACCAGAAATAGAAGAATTACAGACCCTACAAAGGAGTGAAGGTCTTGAACGAAAGACTGATCGACAATGAAGCCGTCGTGGATAGAGAGGAGCGGAACCAAGAAACTTCTCCAAGGAGGAGAAAGAGCATGCATCTTATTCAACGGTCTCGAACCATTCTCCGTCCCCGATCCCATGCCTTGCCTCCCAAATCGGCTGTCGGTTGCGAGCGAGCAGGGCATAGCATAAGGACGGTGGAGCTATCCTGGTTGAGTCTAGCCCTGGCCAAACTCGTATAGCCCTGTTTGATATTACGGTAAACCAGGGGTCGCTCTAATCCAGGATCCTTTTGTAGGCGAGGCTCCGCTCTCCTTAACGCAGTACGCACACTGGCCGTTGGACCACCGGCTAAAATGACTCTACTCATGGCCGTTGGTGGCCTACAAAGTACCAACGTTATTGTTGGTTCATGCTGACTTCCAGCCGGTCTATTGTCTTTTTCATGCCCGAGCCAGAGCTCCATCTGTTGCCGCGTAAGCCGAAGAGGTCGAGCTCTGCGTGAATCGTGCATGCGAAATTGCAGAGTGGTAACACCCAGAACCCCATGGGTACTGCGCCTCGTCTGACCATGCAAGGGCAGGCCGGATCATGGCAAATCCTTTGATTGCACTCGACTTGGCATGACTGATTTCACGCGGGGGCAACGTGACTTCTTCCGAGACTAGAAGCTGTTGGGAACCAGTTTTTGCCGGATGAGGCAGGTCGAAGGATTATCACTGTGCCCTATTCGGCTGTAAGCGGGATTTGCAGGAATACGCTTGTCTTTGCGCGCAACGTTCCTAATATAGCAATCTGTGCCTGGCTTGGCTTCACCGGCGTCTGCAGGCTGACTGACCTACAGATGGCAGATGCCGAACTCCTGGCCAAGGGAACAAATGTCCGCACCACTAATCGGCTATTACTACTTCTGTGCACCCGTTCTCGCATCTCAGGGGAATTATTGGCGTAAGGCATGCTATTAAAGGAGTGACGTGGCCAGGCACAGTCCCTTTATTGGCCATCAACACCACCAATATACCCAAAGTTCTCATCCCCCTTTCCTGACTCACACCTCACATCAGACGAAGCTTAAATAATGCGATTTCCCTTTAGTAGATCAATGCGACCCACGATTCATACCGTAGACGTTACATCACGATAAATCGCTATTTCTAGTCTTTTTATAGGGTAGTATATCCAAGACCGAAGCCCATATTATAGTCATCCACGATGCAGCACGCTCCGAGAAGAGGCAGCCTTTCCACATGATTGATTTTGTTCAATAAATATGGGTCGTCCGTTCTGAAATGAGACACACCTTATCCCATAATGGACAAATGGATGCTCTCCCATTCTATTTTGGTGTTTTCAACTGCACCTTGCCGCAATAACTAATTTGGTTCTTTTAATATGGACATCTCGCGAACCATTTGTATCCTACCTATCCAAGATAGTAAGTATGATGTAAGAAAGCCTTGTTCTGACTTCTTCCTCCTTGAGCGCGCGACCAATCGTGTCTTAGAAATGAGAGACTATTGGGAGAAAATTGGGCTGGACTCCATTGGATCGTGAGTTAATCACAGCCGGATGTAACCATGACCAATAAAATAGATCCAGCTTTCCTATAACGGATAAATATCATAGTTAAAATTAGATATACTGACCTCCGAAGCTAACTTTTCATACCTATTACAAGCTGGAATACGTAGTCCACTAATGGTCTTGACAGGATTGCCAAACAACACAACCAATGACCTTTTATCAATTGAAATCCATGCTGGCAGAGGTGGTTAGAGTAATACCAAGGAAGTTTGTTATCTGTGATCCTTTAGCTCTTATCACTTATGATTTCCAAGCAATTAATTAAATCAAGTTACTTTTAGACCTGCCCTAGGGTAAGGAAGCGTTGTCTCAAAAGCAGCCTCCCCAGTCAATTTGGCGATTGCCTCGTGCTGCGCCCAATGGAATTGATATCAGCGGAACGGCAACCTCAAGGATTTTGTCATTGTTGTCATAGATTTTCTTTAACAATAGGAGAGGAAATATCATGTCACGCAATCAGACACTAATCTAGATGCTGTATCACAACTTAGTTGACTTAACCTACATCATTATAAGATATCTATGTAGGTTCATAAGAGAGGTTATTGAAATAGTCTTCTTTAGGTTTTAAAAATGAACGCCCTATTCACAATTCTTTTTATAAAAACGCTTTATCTCCTCAAGTTCATGTTATATTGTTTTTAGAACATCTCATGCTATAAAGGTGGGAAATCAAGCACCTCGTCATCCCTGATAACATCTTGCCATTGTATATCCGCTGAACGCCAGGAAGTCAGAGCCCTCTGTTCCCATACAGATACACAAGCCACTTGGACAAGTTTTAGAGCCCCGATTGAATATCGATCCAGGCGCTTGAGCAACCTAAGAGCACGGCTCTGTAGGTCTGGGCTGGTACATTCTGCTGCAATGGCGAGGTAAGGCCATATGGGCGGGACGCCTGCTTCAGAGCCCCCAGCTTCGATAGCTGCTTCTAGATTGACGAGTCCAAGGGCAACAAGCTCTTGCAGGCTCTCTGGCGACTTGCTCCTACACTTTCTTTTGAGGAAAATGAGCATGCCGTAACAAAAGGCTGAAAAATAATGTTTGGCCCAAGGTAATGCTTTGGTCTGGTCGTTCATTGCGTTTTCCGCGCCCCCAAAGGAGCTTACCTGAAGAATGATGCTCTGTTCCAGTTCATCAATCTCGTGACTCTCTGGATGGCCGCGATAGTCCTGGATTCGTTTACACGCGTAAACAAGGCTAGGAGTCATGCCAGTGCTCCTCATTATAGAGCTAATCGGAGCATTGCCCAGGTAAAACTCAACGATGCTGACATCGATATTCTCATCGCAAAGCACGAAACAGCAGGTGAGGAATTCAAGGAAGCGCTGCTGATCCGATGTGAGGGACCGTGGTGTCAACACCAACACCGAAAGCCATTGATTTGCAAACTTCATGTGCTCTCTCCACCGCCCAACTTGACCCGAGATCGAGTCCATCATCATCAGGACTAGGAAGAGCCCCGTCGTGGCAAAAGGATCTGGGGTCGTTTGTTCTACAGCGACTTGCTGTGACATGTGAAGCGCGGCGCGGTGATGTCTGGCGGCAAGCAAGCCAAAGTTTTGACTACCACCGTGAAGCTCATCCATACTGTGCGCAGCTATGGCGCACATGGCATGCAAAAGGGCCAAGCGGCAATCCAAATACTCAGCACCAGTGTCGAAGCCCATGAGAGCAACTGACACCAGCGGGTTGATAACGGGGTTATCATGCATTTCTACCGCGAAAAATCTCTTGCAAAGATGTGTCGACCAATGGTGAATTAATTGCCGTTGGATTGGAAACATGGCAAGAGGGTCGAAAGATTCCATTGCAAAGGCTGATGGGAAGACGTAAGATGGAGGTTTGAGAAGGTCGCCTGGGACCGTCTCCAGATATCCGTCCCCCTCATTTGGCTCAAGCTCAAGGCCTAGGAATGGCGATGCAGCCGTTGCCAAATGTCCCAAATCCAATTGTTCTAGAGCATCGTTGCTGGATATATGAGCATCTTTCCAGCCAGAGTCTTCCAACAGCTCGAGATGAAGTGCATCGTAGGCTTCGGTCGAGGAGCTCCCAAAGTCAACTCCACAAGCTGTAGACAACGGAGCATCCATGATATCCACGAACGTATCAGAGGCCTGTTGAAGCGTTTGATGATTCGTTCCACTTGAGGAGATATTGGGCTCTTCGGGGATTGGTTGGGACGCAGCGGGCCTTGTCTTGCCTGTCTCCTGAGTGGTTTCAAACACATGAAAGGGCCCAGAGGACTTCGCAGATTTATTTGAAGCATTTTTGCCGAGTGCTCTTTGAATCTTTTTCACGTCCAACGTCTTTTGTTCCGTCTCCGCCGAGACCTTCTCTGGACTGTTCGTAGACCTGAGTGCTCGTCGGTTGCCAGCAACGATCGCGCCCTGGCCGGGGCCGCGTGCATGGCCGGTGCGATTGTCGGAAGAAACCCATGAAAGGCGCATGTCGTAGCCTTCGCAAGTCAGGCTAGACAGTTTGCATCTATCACATGCGGGATGGGCCTCGTCACATTTCAAATGGCGGCGACGGCACGTCCAGCACCCGGTGAAGGTCTTGTTTCTTCGTGTGGACATTCTCGATTTGAAGACCGCGAATTGCTACATGTGTGAAAATTGTCTCCAGAGCGCGGCGTCGCTCGTAGATGTAAGATCCAGCCTTGGCAGGAACGATATTTCGGTTTACTCACGGGTCTGATTCACGATAAGAAATGGCTTCCACGAATGTCCATACTGGCGTAAGGGAGGCCGATTAGTTATCTTCATTAGAACCGGTCTCGACTTGGTGGAGCTTCGAGACTGATAAGGTACAGACACATTATTGGTGTATAAGGGAGGGTAAACCACTCATAGAGTCCCACACTTGCATCTAACATTACATTGGTGCGTTGCCTCGGGCCAGAGCGGAGAGTACGTGCTTGACCCCGTATTCCTTACCCCATGGGAGATCGTCATCGCTCGGGGCATGTGGCATGGGTAGGGATGTCTTATAATTGGAGGCATACTACGGAGTCAAGCTATCGCAGAGGGGCACAGCTCATTTCAGTTGTCACTACTTTCGATCGATGGCGACCCTACAAGGATTGGTATTGGCACTAGCCTCGCAATTCTACTGGCTAAAGTAAACGGAGGAACAAGGAGTTGATTCTTTAAGGCTATCTCTATCTGTGACGTTCCCATCTCAGACAGTCGTGTTTATGCTGTAGTTGCTGCCTTCTCGGGGTACAAAGGCTTGTCCTTCAACCCAATGTGCTGACCAACATCTTCATAGTCCTTGGTCCAATAGTAGCCTGCTCTGCCATGTGCAGTTGGCCACATGCTGCGAAAGCCGTGCATAGCTTGGCCTCGGTAGGTCATGGTATCAGCTACGTCGATGGGCATCAACAGGCAGTGGGCTTGCTCGGGCATCAGTCCCATTCGGCAGATACTGAGCGAGAAGCAACGGCGCCAGTCTTTCTGAGACCTGTTGGCACCACCTCCATGCAGAAGCTTGCCCGAGAAGAGGAGGCACTCTCCGGGGTTCAGCTCACCAGGCACGGTATCATGGTTCAAAATGCCCTTTTCCAGGCTGGATTCAAACTTGGGCCATTTGTGGCTCCCAGGCACAAGGCGCGTGGCCCCGTTGAGATCGGTAGAGGGAGTAATGGCAAAGAAGAAGTTGATGACGGCCTCAGGGGTGTTAGGCCCAATGTCGTTCCAGAGTGGCCACATCTCTTGGTCTCGGTGGAGAGCTTGCGCATCGTTGCCAGGGCCTATCTCAATAACCTGTGCGGAATTGAGCCAGTACCCGTTGCTGGGATTGTCGTCTCCGTTCATGCTTTTGAAAACGCGCTCGGAGACTTGATGCATGATCTCGATCTCGATGATGTCGTCGCGGAAAGCCTTGCTGAAGGTCGGGACATCGAGGAGGCGCTTGGTATTGAGACCGTATGCGGCGTCAATCTCTTCATAGTAGTCCATCATGCCATCCGGTTTGCCCGCCTTCATCTTGGCCAGCTCGGGTTCCAAGTCGGCATTCAAACGGTCAATCTGGTCTTTGGTGATGAAGTCGGTGATGATGACCATGCCATCGTCTTCCATGGCTTTCACGATGGCCTCGGCGCCATCGGCCGTCGACAGCCTCTTGATTTCCATCTTGCAAGAAATTGTTTCGCTATATATAGCAATATATTCAAGTTTTAATCAGATTCGAATGCTGTCATTCATAAGCGTGATTGAGCATGAGTCTAACTTTCATGCAGGACATTTTGGCATATAAGTGTTTTTGGCCTTTCCTGTGACAATATGTATCGGTGATGGAAAGCTCATACATACATTGCCTCAATAAGCAACCCACGGCGAAGCACCAACGTGTACTCGCTTCGGTATCACCCATGTTTCGACCGTTTGCGTTAGATTGCATTTCTACTCTCAAAAGTCACTTACATGGACCAATTGAGGAAGCCATGACGAACGAATCAGAAAGATATAGCGCAAGCGCGGTCCTTATCAGTCAGTCCCAGTATGGCATTCTACCGCGAGGCTTGGGCGCTGCTCTATGGGGAACATAAGTAATGGATACGAAGCGATTGGCTTACCCCGAAACACTAAACTCCACCCAAAATCCACAGCCATGGCGAAGAGATAGGTTCAGTCGTCGGGAACAGCTTCGCAGCGTTATGTGGGAGTTGCTGATAAGGGTCGAAGAGCAACCCTTAGAAGTGAGAGGTCGCCCATAAAATCACCTTGCGGAATCATCAAGACGCAAGTACGCGAGCTCTGTGGATTTGAGAGTTAATTTCCCATCTAGTTCAGCTTTTCAGAAACAAGTGCTGGAACACGTCCTTTTCTTGTTTGGCACGTTACGCCGTTGAATCCACAGTCCCATGGCAATGAACTCGTCCGTATCTTCTGAACACTGCCACAAAGCCGCCATTCATGACAGTGTTGAAATGGAGGTGAGCCAGCTCAAAGACATCCAGGCCGAGCCTAGGAAGTCGAATGAACCTTCGCCAATTCTAAACGACCCGGAGAAAGTGGAAGTGAGTGAGCTTAAAGAGCGCTTTAGTCTCACTGGCATGATTGGTCTCTATTTCTCTCTGGGTGCGGCGCCCCTGGCTGTTGGTAGCTATACAACTCTGATTCTTGGGGTTGGTGGCGGCGCGTTCCTATTCTGGGGCACCGTCGTCGGCGTCGTCTTTCAGATATTTATCGCCTTATCGTTGGCGGAAATAGCCTCAGCCTTTCCTCACAGTATTGGTTCGTCTGACCTCTGATGGCTCGGAGTTACAATACTGACAAGGAGCACCAGGAATGTCACACTGGATTGCCCAGCTCGCACCTCCAGAATGGAAAAGAGGTCTGAGTTATTGGGCTTCAGCCGTCACGATGCTGCAGACCCAATTTGACGGAGCATCCTTTTGGATCATTACAGTCCGGGTCGTGACGGCAACTGTTTCTGTCTTTACAAGTGGATCTACCAACTTGGAGAACTGGCAAATTTACTTGATCATAGCCGGATTCGTCCTGGCAGGCGTTCTCATTAACAGTCACGATACGCTGCTAAGCGGTTATGCAAAGTACAACAACTCTATGGCATATGTTATCAATGGAACCATTATATATCAAGTCGTTTCACTCCTCGTCCGGTCCTCGCCAAAGCAGTCAGCATCTTCCGTCTTTCTTTCCGTCGACAATCAAACGGGCTGGACAAACGATGGAGTTGTTTTCCTATTTTCAACCATACCGGGAATCAGCGTCGTGAGTGGCTTCAACTACGTTGCGCACATGGCAGAGGATATGCCGGAGCCGAGAAGGACCGTCCCCCTTACCTTGATTGCGGTTACTTTGTTGAATTCAGTAACTAGCGTCGCGATGATAGTAGTGCTTCTCTTCTGCACAGTCAACAAAGAGGCGCTCTATGAGCCCATCGGGGGCATGCCGTTGGCACAAATCTTGTGGGACGGACACAGATCGCTGCCGTTGACTGGCATCAACATGCTTCTCATGAGCGTGATCTTTGTGACTGGCGGATTAGGCTTCATTTCTTGCTCAAGCCGCCTTGTCTGGCAGGTCACTAAGCATGGCGGTCTTGCTTTCGCAAGGGTCTTTGGCCACGTCAACCCGAAAACACAGATCCCGCAAAATGCCGTCTTTTTCGTCGGAACGACCACGATTCTAATCTCCCTCTTACAAGTCGGCACCCAAACAGCCCTGAACGCGCTCATGGGTTTCAGCTTCCTCTGTGTTGCCTTTTCGTACGGAGTCAGTATTCTTCTGCTCGTAGTGCGTGGCCGTCATCTGTTACCTCAGAACCGTTATCTCAATTTAGGTCGCCTTGGCTTACCTGTTAACCTCGTGGCCCTGGCTTGGATCATCCTCTCATCAGTCTTCCTTTGCTTTCCAACAACATTACCGGTTCAAGCTGATACAATGAATTACGCTGCTCCAGTATTTTTTGGATTTCTGTTATTCTTTGTGCCGAACTGGTACTTTTATAGCAAAAAGCACTATGTCACGCCGTCTAAGATGGCTTTTTGAGATGATTTCATTGGCATGTAGGTAGTCAGAGATAGCCAACAGAATTGCGCAGGAGAATAGCAGCTGCGGAAGAATTGAACTGGTTTCTGTATGAAGAATTAGCCGGGTCCCACCTTGTCCCTCTCTTACTATTCGTGAAGTGAATCGATCCACGCAAGTTTGACCTGTGCTAATCAAGAGTGAGATCATGCTTGTAGGCACTACTTAAATATAGAGGCTGCTAGCAGTGGGAGACGTCACGAGCGAGAAGCCCCTCTTTCTTCACAAGATGTCGCTCTTGAAGATCATTGCTATGTTCACAGTGAAAGAATAGGTGAAGGAAAATACGTCGGTACGAATCTTTGGCTAATCAAGAACATCATCACGACTTGCCAACTGCCAAAGGCCGCGATTTCTGCCACTGCACGATAATAGCTGAATGGATACAAAGCTGGTATAGCAAAACAAATGACGCATCCCAAACTCTGGCCGTGACTGGCCCCCTTGAAGAACTCTATAGCTCATCCGTACCTGTGTGAACTTGCTCGGTGGAAGCAGCAGCTAAGTCAAACCGGTCAAGATTCATAACCTTCACCCAAACGGCAATGAAGTCCTTGATAAACTTTTCTTGGCCGTCGACACTAGCGAATACCTCAGATATGGCGCGTAGCTCCGCGTGAGAGCCAAAGACAAGGTCGGCTCGAGTAGCAGTCCACCTCTCTAAGCCCGTTTCGCGATCAACGCCGACCCAAAACTCTCCGTCCTTGTCCACCTTTATCCAGGCGGTGGAGCTGTCCAATAAATTAACGAAAAAATCATTTGTCAGGTGGCCCTTCCTGTGGGTGAGGACACCATGGGAAGATCCGTTGTAGTTTGCGTCAAGCACGCGAAGACCGCCCACCAGAACAGTCATTTCAGGAGGGGTCAGGGTCAGAGCAGCAGCCCTCTGTACTAAGAGCTCTTCAGTTCGGGCGCGTGCATTGCCACGTCCAAAATTTCGGAAACCATCGGCTAGTGGCATCAGGAAACCAAAGGATGTGACATCGGTCTGATCCTGAGTCGCATCAACGCGACCCGTCGCGAATGGGATGGCGATATTCTTGTGACCAGCATCATGAGCTGCCTTCTCGACTGCCGCAGTCCCTCCAAGGACAATAAGATCGGCCTTGGAAACCTGTCTCGGCGATCGTGCGTTGAAGTCAGTCTGGATTCTTTCAATCACACGAAGTACAGATTCAAGTTGGTCAGGGTTGTTTAACTCCCAAGCACATTGAGGACGAAGAAAGATGCGAGCTCCGTTGGCACCGCCGCGCTTGTCTGAGTGGCGATAGGTAGACGCCGCATTCCACGCCACCGAGATCAGCTGCGAAGCCTCGATAGAGGCCATCAACTCTTGCTTGAGTGCAGCAATTTCGTCCTCGCCTATTACCTGTCCTCTTAAGGGGGGAAGAGGATCCTGCCAGAGTAGCTGCTCGCTCGGAACTTCAGGCCCAAGATAACGAGACCAGGGTCCAAGATCACGATGCAAGAGCTTGAACCAAGCGTGACGAAACGCATGTGCTAACTCATCAGGGTGTTCAAGCCAACGGCGACATATCTTTTCATACTCAGGGTCGTGAATGAGCGCAAGGTCGCTAGTAAGCATTGTTGCCCTCCTCCGTTTACGAGGATCAAAGGGGTCAGGATAGTCCGAGGGACCGTTGACTGCCTCCCACTGCCTTCCACCAGCGGGACTCTGAACAAGGGTCCAATTGTTCCCGAGCAAGCTTTCGAGGTATCCGTTGCTCCATCTGCAGTTTATGTGAACATGTCTGCTGTGAGTTTCGAGGGACACAGAACCTACTTGGTAGGGGTCTTGGTCCAGATGACCTCAAGCCCACTGGTCTGTTGATTCGGCCCATTGCCACTACCCATTTTATTGTGCCATCCCAAGCCCATTTCGCCAAGATCAGCGGCCGCGGGCTCAGGACCGACATTGGCTGTATCAGGTGGTGGTCAGCGTCAGCTTGGTGAAGATCTCATCAGTGTTCTGCCAAGAACTGCGGCTACTCACAAGTGGCAACTGCACCATGGGTTTTACCAAACGCGTGACCGCCGGCAATCAAGGCGACCGTCTCAGTGTCGTTCATTCCCATGCGGCCGAAAGCAACGCGTATGTCCCCTGCTGAAGCCGCTGGGTTTGAACTACCGTCGGGACCCTCCGGGTTTACATAAATCAACCCTAGATTGGTCGCTCCCAGTGGCTTCTCGAGTTTTGTAGCTCTGTCAAATATATCATCGCTTCCGTTGTATCTAACTTCATTCCCTTTGGGCACAAATGTAGTCTCGGCACCCCAGTATACGGACTGATCGGACTCCCACGTATCGGGTCGTCCGGCACCGAAGCCCAACGGTTCGAAACCCATAGACTCCAGGGCCACATTACCAGTGAGAAGAATCAAGTCTGCCCATGATATCTTCTTACCAAATTTCTGCTTTATCGGCCCTAGCGTGATTACAATGAGAGGTGCTGAAGTGGAGGAGGTGGCGTACACTCACAGAGAAGACGACGAGCCTTATCGAGATTCTGATTGTCGGGCCAACTGTTCAACGGAGCAAACCTTTGCTGACCCTAGGAGTACATATCATGTCAGCAGAGGTGGGCGAGGATTCGACTGATTCGCTCAAGTGTCAAAGTGTCATAAGTCGAGGTGAAGTCGTGTTGCAGGTCGCGGGAACATACCATGCCGCCACCACCACGGCCATCTATAGCTCTATAGGTCCCGGCGCTATGCCAAGCCATGCGAACAAATAAGCCTCCATAATGGCCAAAATCAGCAGGCCACCAGCTTTGGGAGTCCGTCATGAGCTCGTGGAGAGCTGTTTTCAAGGCATAATCTTTAAGTACCGGAAGCCATCCGGCCTTTGTCAGGAAATATGCAGAGCGACTTGATCTAAGTAAAAGACTTACAATCGAGTGTTTTGAATGCCTTGGCATAATCGAAACCCTCCCCAAGCGGGTTGGAACTTGGTTGAAACTGTCTCAGGGCATTGAGTCTCAACTGGCAAGGCCAAAAGTCATGAGTCTTGGCACCGCTGCAAGCATCACTGCCTAGACCTGAATATTTCCCGGTCATGTCATCCCTTGTGCTGTCCTGGTCGTACCCGAGGGATCTCTCTGTGCTAGCAAACGGACAGCCCCCCATGGCCACCTGAAAGGGCGCAATTGAGGCCAAGACGAGCCACGCTGGAGAGGCACGCATAGTGCTACGAGGGACTGGGTAATGACTCAGCCACAATACGGGTGGGCAATGAGAAAAGCCGAAGATGCGAAAAGCGAATCGAGGGGCGGTTTCTCCTTCTTTTTTTGACACGCCTGTTGCGAGGCGTTACTTTCTTATCATCAACACTACGCTCAAGGAATGCGGCCCAATCCCCAAAGAACAACATCGCCACAGTGTAATTATTCGTTGTCCTCGTAAAGTGACTTGTGTTGAGTGCCGTGGGTAAGAAGGCCCAAAAGGGTATGCTACAGCGACCGATGACGATAGTAAACCAGGACCAAATGGGAAGGCCATTTGTGTCGTCCGCTGGCTTGTAGTCTGTTTGCTAGATTAGGATAGAACAGATTTGCCATTTGAAAATGCAAAATTGCACAATGACTATGAAAATGGGGGTCTGATTTGTGTGTGTAATCTGATTCAATTGGGTAGTCTATACCTTCGGCCAATGTAGCTAACTAACCTATCATTGCAGCTGTGAAGTCACGGAAGACACCTCTTTTAAAGATGAGATTTTTCGTACAAAATATACCGAGAGGTAAAATTGTTTTCTTCATAGATGACAAGGCTAGCTGATTTATTGACCTTGCCTCGTGTGATGAGGGGGCCTCGATTCACTACTTATTCAAGGGAACATGTTGAACTTCCTCAGTATACCAAGACCTCGTTGCAAAGACTCCATACTCTAGAAGGCATACGCGGCGCAGAAGACATAAATGGGGATCGGCTGAGGGCAAAGTTGTGACCCATTGCTACGGTCGATACCCCGAACTTGAAGAGGCCCTGTACTTGTTGAATTGATGAGCACTTTCCTTCTAGACGAAAATTGAGAAATTTGACTACTTTATAGATACACGCTTTCTTGTCAATGGACCGAGGCAACTGATTTCTGCGGGTAGAATGGCTTATCCTTCAAGCCAATGCTTCTGCCCAATTCCCTGAAATTCATGGTCCAGTGGGCACCAACTGTACTGCCATTTGCCGGAGGCCAAAGACTCCGGAAACCGAACATGGCTTGCGCTCGATAAGATAGAGTATCAGCTACTTCGACAGGCATCAACATGGCATGGGCCTGTTCAGGGGCCAAACCCTGACGGATGACGCTCAGGGCGAACCCACGGCGAGACTCCCCAAGCGTCCGATTCGCACCACCGCCATGAACTGTCTTGCCGGAAAAGAACAGGACATCGCCCGCGTCCATCTCTGCGGCAACCGACTCGTGCCTGAGGTTAGCTACACCTGCATCGTCCACCGCGGGCTCGAACTTGGGCCAGAGGTGGCTCCCGGGAACGACTCTAGTGGCACCGTTCTCTTCAGTGAAGGGGGTCAGGGCCATGAGGAAGTTGACCGTCGCCTCGGGGGCCGTTGGACCCAGCTCGTTGAAGCATGCCCAAATTTCCTGGTCTCGGTGCAGAGGCTGAGCCTTGCTGCCGGGCCCGATTTCAATCACTTGCGCCGTGTTGAACCAATAGCCGGTGCCTAGAGCACTCTGCGCGGAGAAGGCTACTTCGCAGAGCTCGTGCAAAAGCTCGTTGTCGGCAATGTCCTCGCGAAAGGTCTTGCTGATATTAGCGGTATCAGTCCGGCGTTTGGTTTGTCGCCCGAGGAGATCGTTGACATAAACACTGTCGCCAAAGTCGCCAGTTTCGCCACCGGACAGCTCTCTTAATGCAGGATCTAGTTCGGCATTGAATTTTGCCAGGATCTGAGGCTCAAGAAAGCCCTGGATGATGACGCCGCCATCCTCGCGAAACGCTTCGAGGATTTTCTCGGCACCGCTAGAAGCAGGAATTCGACGAAGAGACATGGCGACTGAGCTTCTGTCTATTTGGGGATTGTAGGAAGGCTAATGTTCAATTTCTACAGAGGACCGTGAACGAAGAGACTGATTGGGCAAATGCCGTCGCAGAGAATGTGGCGATCATACAGGCTGCCCTTTTAAATGAGGCCTTTATAGAGAGTAAGCAACTGGCGGGTCACATATGACGTTCTATCAAACAGATTCTTTATGAGGCACATACCGTTAAAGTAATTGACACCGATCACCATCGTGGTGTAGAAATTCAAAGTCGTCAGATGATGATGAGTTTGTGCTTTGCTTGCCAACAACATAGTCCGACATGGGTCTTGGGGAGCAGTCGCCCAGAATGGAAGTCGACCGCGCGATAAGACCTGAGTCTTTTGGAGGCTCCGAATGGAGAGGATTGTGAGCAGAAAGCTGGCAGGTTGCATGGTGTCAGGGTGCCGAAAACTCGGAGAACTACTGATGAAATATTGATGGACCAAATCGATAATATTGATTCTTACTATACTAAACCTTCAAATCTATGTGCTTGTCCTACATGGTTTTTGTGTTAAGAAACCTAGCTACTTTGGACTGATCAGACAAATTCTCTGGTCATAACCCTAGATGGCTACGTAGTGAAGTAGAGGAAGCTCTAAAAGTGTCCTAAGTAAGGCAGCTTCGATATATAGTTTTATAAGCTCAGCAAGGGATAGACAAGCCACATAAGACAATTTGTCCTCCCGCCCCTTTTTCCAGTATTCCAGTGCTATGTTTGTTTCCCTTGTACTCGACCTCTCATTTGTACCTTGTTGTAGCTGTTCTCATTCAACCATTAGCTCCCTTGTTCTTTGGAAGAAGAAGCATAAGAACAAAGAAGGAATTATCCCTGAGAATTGCTTTTTGGATGCTAGTCACACTGGTAGCCTAGGCGCAACCTAGGTTGCGCCTATGGCTAATCCCTGCGGTCTCCAATGGTGCCGGTACATGATAGTTCTTCTTGCCATGGAAGAACCAATTCGGAATAAACAGAGAGAGTAAACCAAAGAAAACAGGTGCTCCGTAGTTCATATTGTCGGCAGTGACTGGCAAGTAACTTGGAAAGGCAAAAAAGATGCAGGATATCAGTAGCCACAAGGCGGACAAGATATTAATGAGAAGGCCAAAGGAACCGAGATTAAAGTATCGATCCTCTGGTAGAAGTGACCGACCCCTAATGATGACGAGCCAGATTGGAATAGAGTATCCAAGTCCACCGGAAAGGAAACTAAACCCCAATATAGCATTGAGAACGGTGCTTGGGCCCAGTTGGAGAAGGCAAATGAGGAGACAGATGAGGGCCGTGCAAAGAACTGCAACGTCAGGTATCTGTGTCTTAGAGTTGATTCGCCCAATCCATCTAGATAGGGGCAACCCCCCATGATTGGAAAAGGTCCAGAACATGCGACTGGAGCATGTGAGGAACCCGGAGCCCCCAATAACGAAGACAATAGCAACTATAAGCATATTGATCCCAGATAGTACCTTTGAGCTGTACCCATCCCATAAGATCTGTGAGATGAGCATACCTCCAATTGGATCATTCAAAGACGCCGGGTTTACGATGCAGAATAACAGCACTATTATCATGAGCAGCACTGTGACGGATGCTAACAAGGCAACACTGACAAGCACAATAGGGATTGTTCTCCCAGGTCGCGGCACCTCCTCAGTCAAGTGGCAGATGTAGTTGAAGCCACCGACGGTTCCAACTCCAGGGAGCATGGCGAAGAAGAAGACAACTCCGAGAGAGGACCATCCAGTTTCGTTCGTAACGTCGAAGAAAACAGTCGTTGGACTCGGTTTTGGATGTGCACGGACAAGAAGTGCAACTGCCTGAAAAATAGCGCCAGAGTTGATGATTATGACCATGACTGTGGTGAGCTTGGCGAATCCTCCAAGAAGCCTCGGTGTCAGATTGACCACACAAGACGCGGCGACACAGGCGCATATGGTCAAATAGCACTGCCAATTGGTCCTTTCGTATTCAAGGTCGGAGAAAATCGTCACCGTGGCCAATATAGTGTAAGAGGTCAGCAACCACGATCCTGCGTTGTCACACTGGGTTTGTAATGTCGTAACCGAAGCGGTCCAATAGCTGAAGAAACGTTCCCATCCAACGGGTGCAAGCTGTGCAGCCCAGTGTGACATGGCTGCTTCCTGTCAGCAACTAAATGACATCGCTATGGAAAAGAGGAACTTACCAAGGGTATGGGGGAACGACGACGCAAGTTCTGCAACTGACAGGCAGACAAGCGTCTGGAAAACACAAGCCACAAGGGTTCCCCAGAATAGGAACGGACCACCACCGATGCCTTGAACAACGTTTGCATAGCTGCCGATGGCTAAAGGGGCCGCAGCTAGAGAGAACTGAATACCAATAGTGCTCAACAGACTGAATCGTTCCTTCAGTGCAATTTCCTCGCAGGTCCCCTCAGTCGTTGAGCCGCTGACAGTATGAATCTCCTTTTGTTCTGTGCGTACGACTTTCGCGGAAGTCGAACATTCTTCTTGCGAGGCCATGATTCTAGAAACTAATCAGAGAACGAGAGAGTATTGGGCAGCCTGTAATCACCAAGGTATTCTGTTGGATTGCGTAGTACACGATCACGTTGTTATTGGTTTACAAAAGTTGATGGGCCCGTGCCTGTCACAGTTTATGCTAGCCAGCCAAAGCTTACAGCATGCCATGATATAGGCCTCGATAGCAATCATGGAAACCACTCATCTTTCGTGGAGGGGACACGGAGATAACAAGATGGCATCTCCGGCCTCAACGCTTCGGTCCGACTCCAAACGGCAGCAACGCCTGGTTGGAGTGGTGAATAGATGTTGCCAGCGACTATGCGTGCATGAAAACTAAAGCACTAAGCTTATCGTATAGGTCGCGGTAGGCTACTCCATGAGGCAACACCAAAGAGCTAGACTTGGCTAGTGATCGGCGTAGATTCCTCAAACCGGACGAAAATTGTCCCCATCATCGAAGTGCATCCACAATCGCAGCTTAGACTACAAGCCAGTTCACAAATAACCGATAAGATGTTATCTTTGGTACTCCTGGCATCGCTGGCGTCTAAGACGCTGCCATTACAGTGACCGCAGTCCTTTAATGTGGTTCTTCGCAAAGTGGTGAATTGAAGTGAGGTGACGTTAGTTGCAGGATTCTTGCACGACGGGGTTCTGCTTGTAATTGGATATAAAGTAACTCCCAACAACTATAATAGGTGCAATGGCGAATACCATCGACTCATATCCACTTCATTTCACTCACTACACCCTTACTGCACCATGTCACCTGCTTACGAATTCCAAGGCTGGCTAGGTCATTCACCAGACGCTGCCAATGGCAGCATGAAATGGGGTCCTTTCGAGCCGAAGAGGTGGGAAGAGGACGACGTCGATATAGAGATAAGCCACTGCGGGATCTGTGGTTCTGATATACATGTGCTGAGGTCTGGATGGGGTGAAACACCATATCGTATGCAAAACAGCCCCGAAATGTCAACTTTCACATGGCTAATCCCTTTAGCATGCTGTGTTGGCCACGAGATTGTCGGCAAAGCCGTGCGAGTCGGCAGCAACGTTGAAAAAATCAAGGTCGGCGACCGCGTGGGGGTTGGGGCGCAAGCTCTGAGCTGTCTCCGACCCGAGTGTCCCGAGTGTGCTGCCGGACTGACAAACTATTGCCCAAACGGCCAAGTGAGCACCTATGGATCCATCTATCCTGGTACGCTGGGAAAGTCGTACGGTGGCTATGCCAACTTCAACCGGACCTGCTCACAGTTTGTCGTGAAGATTCCCGCCGGTCTCCCCTCTGAGCACGCTGCTCCTATGCTTTGCGGGGGAGTCACTGTGTATGCCCCTCTGCGAGACAACGGGTGCGGACCAGGCAAGGCTGTAGGAGTCGTCGGCGTTGGTGGTCTTGGGCATTTTGCTGTCCTCTTTGCTAAGGCTCTTGCGGCAGACCGAGTTGTGGGTATCTCCCGAAGAGTTTCGAAGAAGGAGGACGTGCTCGCACTAGGAGCCGATGACTATGTCGCGACTGAGGGCGACAGCCATTGGAGGACAAAGCATGCCAGATCACTGGACATTATTCTTTGCACCGTGTCTAGTCCTCAAATGCCTCTGGCCGACTATCTAGGCCTATTAAAATACGGCGGAATCTTCCTCCAGGTTGGGGCTCCCGATGGGGGAGAGCTACCTCCAATCAATGTGTTCGATCTAATGCAAGCTGGCTTGAAGATCGGTAGCAGCAGCATCGGCTCACCTTCAGACATTGAGGAAATGCTTCAGCTGGCTGTCGAAAAGAGAATCAAGCCTTGGGTTATGACCCGTCCGATGAGTGAAGCAAACCAGGCCATCCAGGACATGGAGGCAGGCAAAGCAAGATATAGATATGTATTAGTAAACGAGAAACAGGCGGAGAAGTAGAAATTTTAATTGAACGACGTCTTTTCGCAGTCATTTTACCACTGTGCTATTGTTCTACCCCGTTCTTATCTTCCCTAGGCCAGTACGGCGAGTACTGCAAAAGTGCACATTTCAGTGTAGACAACCACCAAGATGGAAGGTTGTGTTCAGCTCCGACGAAGAGTAGTACTTCGCAGGGACCAGTTCTGCTCCGGATGAAGCCCCTCGAAGCAGCAGGGTGTCTTTGACGCAGTCAAGCGATCTTTCTCTTGTCTAATTCAAGGCTTCAATGATCAATCGCATCGATATCGCATGATCATAGCTACTACTCCATTCTGCACAATGTACAGAGATACTTCTTGGAGGCCCTGCTAAGATAATAATTGGGCACTTCATATGGCTATCCGAGATGTCTTTACCAGGTCTTGGAACATACTCCAGACTGCTTAATCTTGCCGCGGGGTCTTGGCGATAAGCCTCGCGGTCGGTTACTGAAAATGGCCACCATATCGTCTCCACACGGGCATTATTGGTCGGGTTTCAGGAGATTTGCTGGCCTTGATAGGAGACCGCGGAGCGTAAGTCGCCTGCGAACTAAACACGCCAAACCTACAGGGAAAACCTAGACGTTTCCTTTCCTTTTTCTTTTCATTGCATTTCATTTTATTAACTCATCTATCTGTGTATCTTCTCATTCCATCATTAGATTTTCGCCTGAAACTTGGGCTCAAAGAACATTCATTTTCAAGGCTGTCACTCTGGCAGTTTAGGCCCAGCGTCTGCGTCAACTTCTTCACTTCTCACAATGGCTCTACCCAAACGTCTGGCTGCTCAGAGCGAGGACGATGGATTGGGTCCAAATGAGCGAACGACCCTTATTGGCAGGGCGAGCCCGCAACCAAAGCCGTATGGTGATGTCGTGTCCGTTACATCGGCCACCAGCTCCTTCACTCCACCGATGAAGAATCCAGACATGGTGATGTGGATTCTCTACATAGCCATCTTCATTGGGGGTGGAGCGATCCAGTTCCAGGTCATTCCCATGGCTCGCATCTACGAGGACGCCATATGCCGCGCGCATTATGAGCGTGCTCAAGTGTCCGGTCCAATCGACGAGTCGCAATGCAAAGTGGATGCCATTCAATCGGAATTGGCCTTCATCTTCGCTATTCAAGAAGCGCTCACGGCCTTTGTGAGCTGCTTCGTGGCTATCCCCTGGGGTATCGTGGCGGACAAGTAAGTTGTGTACTATCGGATTGATGTTGTGGGTGACGCTTACAATCTCAAGGTATGGGAGAAAGCCTGTGACGTGTTTGTGCTTTCTAGGTGACGCTCTGGCTGCTGCAATCGTCATCATCGTGGCCTGGCTTAATCCGCTCGTCCCTATTCGTGCCGTGTGGGCGTCGAGCCTGGTAATACTGATTGGCGGCGGTGATGCCGTCGTAGCAGCAACAATTTCTGGCATTGTCACCGATATCATTCCAGAAGCGCAAAGGTACGAGCGGCTCTACAGCCTAGACCTAAATTGGTGACGAGTAGCTATCTAACAGGTCGGATCTTAGGGGAGTTGTCTTTATGAGAGTCTACATGTGCGGTATGGTAGGCGGTCTATCCGCGCCTGCATTGGCATCCGCACTGATGCCAGTAGCTGGACCCTGGGTGCTGATGCTCGTGGCACTTTTCTCCATTCTCTTCGTCACAACGCTCTGTCTCTTCATGCCGGAGACTTTGGTGAAGAAGAAGGAGGACCAAGCATCGGAAACCTCCGCGGGGTTTGGTGCCTCTCTGATGAAATCCTTGGCTGCGCTCAAGGGGTCGTTGTCGGTTTTCAAAAGCGTTCCAGTAACGCTGCTCTTCGCGACTACATTTTTCTCAACCCCCCTTCTAACATGTACGCTGCAATTCCTGACTGTTTTTGCATCTAAACGCTACCACATCCGCCTGGACGAAACTGGGTACATACAGACGGTTTACGGCGTGGCTCAAGCTATAGCAGGAGTCGCCTTGCTACCACTCATCTCCGAGTTTATTACCAAGTCCTGGTTGCCAGCGTGGCTGAGAATCTCCAACGAACGGCGCAGAGATCTCGTTTTGCTGCGCTGGTCCTATGGTGTTTCCATTATCGGTACCCTCATCCTCGGCTTTGCCCCGAAGCTCGGCACTTTCATCTTAGGTCTCCTGGTCATGGCTCTCGGGTCTGGTGCCAATGGCCTGATTAAAAGCCTGCTGTCTCTGTATGTAGACCCCGAGCTCTCGTCGCAGCTATATACGATAACCGGCATTCTCGAGGTTTGTGGCTCTCTTTACGCCCAGCCTTTGCTTGCGGCGCTATTCACAATAGGGATGCGCCTTGGTGGAGGTTACATAGGACTGCCTTATTTTGGGGTGACTGCTCTTTCTGTACTCCTCTGTGTTATAGTTATGTTCGTTCGTCTACCTAAGAGTGAGACCGGAGATGCCGAATCTTTGAATGAAGAGGTGATTGGCAGTGAGTGAGGCCGGGCAAGGTTGAGGAAACCCTTGGGTAAGACTCCTAGTTTGGTAGTATCAGTGGTAGTGTAGGTTCCCCAAGAACAGCTTTCGAGCAATACTACATTTCTTCAAATCTAGCCCTAGAATCAGGGAGATCCACTGTATTTTTCAGATCGCAACGCACAAATTATTTCCAACCTTCGCGTGAGAGAGGGATTCATCAAACTGTTAATGTTCTGGCTGAATGTATTTGGCGGCTACAGGGTAAGTTGCTTTAGTAGTCCAACCAACTGGTTGCCGACAGCGAAATTAAATCAAGGTAATGTTGGTTCAGACTCGAGCCAACCGAGCCTACATAGCCCAGAAAGGCGCCATAATGCTCTAGCCGAGGCCCCAACAATGGTTGTTCGGTTGCTCCACACAGGGCCCTGGTCCTGAATCAGCTTGATTGTCGTGATGGAGCAACCGGTTCCCTCAAGGCCCAATCCGGAAGTCGACGACGACGTGGGGTTACGAGCAGATAAGGCCCTTGTAGAGCTTAGTCAATAGCCTACTTTGACTTACCTATGATAGGGTGAAGTAGCTCCTTAGAATCTATATATTTGGTAAATCTGACGAAGATGATAACCTGCTCTTCGATTTGAATTTGTTGCTGTAGTCATTACATCTGACGCTGGTAGGCTTTGCACTCAAATCGTCTCCTACACATTGCTAAGACATCTTTTCTGACCCAGCTGTTGGTCATTACCACTACCTTCTACCACTACCTTCAGATCGAATCGATATAAGTGTTCTATTGTCGGCATAAGACTCTTCCAAGGCGCTGAAGATATGCTCTTGACGCCTATAACCTCGACTCACGTCCTCTAGTCCCACCTCAACCAGAGCAGACCCCCATTGCTCTTCAATGGCACAGCCAGAAGCCAACTCGTCCGCTTGGCCGGACTGGGTGACGACACTGAAAATGGATGGCAATATGCCACGCTGGTACTCTGTTGACTCCATCAACACTGCAAAACGTCGCCCCGCCTTTGGCCTTTGGTGGCTGGCAGTCAAATGTACATGGGCGATCGCCCTGACTGGCTTTCTTGCTAATATTGTCTTGAATATGTCAGGGTACCAAGTCCGGCTCACAGCCACCCAAGAACGACAAAAATGTACAACGTGTGGCCTCTATGACCCAGCTGTGGCGATAGATGCACCGAACCCGAATGTTTGGGCGCCAATTACCTCGGATGACAATACTGCAATCTGGGCCTGGCTTCATGATCCGATCAGGGGCCTAAATCTGACAGAGCCCACGGTCGCCAAAATCAATGACAACATGGTCTACTCGATTGACACGCTGCCCCCGAACAAGACAGACGTCATCTTCTTCTTAGACGGCAGTGGTCCTAAGCCAGACTCTTGGGCCAGGGTGATGATCTACGAGGGTGGAAAGGCCGAGCCTGTCGCTCAAGAATACATGGTGGGACCGTTGCCTGTAAGCGATGACACCACGATTGAACCGCTTGATTACATCTACAACGGGGGCATGGGCGGTTCGGTTCCCTACAACGCCCGCGCCATCGACGTGAGCAGAATGGTTGTCCTTGATCACATTCTGGTCCCTGTCATGCAAGACATCGTTGACATCACTTCCACCATCTTTCAAGGAGCTGCCTACTATGGTTTCGCCGACACGCGGTCCACGGTCGTTCCAAACTTCGGCACCCCAGTTTCATTTGACGGGTCTGAAGCTCATGTCAATGCAGTATTCCACTTCCCTGGCTCAGCACTGTTTCTCATCCCTATCGATTTCTATGTCCTCATTGATTGGACTGGGACCGACTACACTCAATGGAAACTGAAGGGTTTTGTGACAAAGGAACGCTTTTTCCCCACCGTAGACGAACTGAGGAAAGCTTACAATCTTGGTGAGCTCAAGCAAGAGTTTGACCAACACAAGAATTACGACTGGGCGCTCGTCAAGTATCAGTCTGAGCTTGGCCAGAGGCCTCTGGAGAGCCGAGTAGCCCCTCAGAGCCTTGAGATTGGGGGCAAGCGCTACAAGCTTGACCCAAAACAAAACTACGTTGAGTATATGGGCTGGTCGTTCTACGCAACATACACCAAGAGCTTGGGTCTCATGTTCTACGACATTCGCTTCAATGGGGAACGGATCCTGTATGAGCTTTCGATGCAAGAGGCCGCATCACAGTATGGAGGCTTCCAACCAAAGGCCGCATCCACCTTGTTTCACGACACCGCTTTTAGCATCGGTGCAGATGTTTTCCCGCTGGTCGAAGGATTCGATTGTCCTTTTGGAAGCACTTTCTGGAACATGTCTTTCTATGACAGAAACCAGACCATCACCCACCCTAACTCTCTTTGTCTCTTTGAGCATGACAGCGGTCATCCACTCTCCAGGCATCGCGCCGAGACCTTCGCCGCTGAAAACGAGAATGAATGGGGCTTTGACAATCTGGGTGTAGTCAAGAGCTCAGCGCTCTCTGTGCGTTTTATCGCAACTGTCGGAAATTACGACTACATTTTCACATATGAATTCAGCCAAGACGGGGCCATTGAGATCTCTGTGCGTGCATCTGGATACCTCCAGGCTTCTTATTACTACAAAGACCAAGGAAGGTTTGGGCCTCGCATTCAGAAAGCCACCCAAGGTCCGATACATGATCATATCATAACCTTCAAGGCTGATTTCGACATTCTGGATTCCAACAACAGCTTCGAGAAAACGGAACTCAAGGCGGTTCAACAAGAGCAACCTTGGTTTCCTGAGCTTGGATCGTTTGAACAACTCCAACTTGAAAAGACTGTGTTGGCTAAGGAAGAGCAATTGAACTGGCAGTCCAACGGTCAGACAATGTACTGCGTTGTTCACAAAAACGAAACCAACCAGTGGGGTGAGAAACGTGGCTACCGTATCGTGCCTGGCAAGTCCAACATTCATCTGAGCACTTTGACTTCACCCTGGTCGCGTCACAACAGTGCCTTCCTGAAGTCCCACCTGGCTGTGACTCGTCAACATGACACCGAGCAGTTCGCCAATAGTATCAACAACGCCAACTTGCCATTTAAGCCGCAGCATGACTTTCTGAAATTCTTCAATGACGAAAGTGTTGACGGCGAAGATCTCGTGGTTTGGTTCAACCTAGGCATGCATCACTTCACTCGGTCCGAGGATGTGCCCGTGACTCTGTTTACAGAAGCGGTCAGCAGCATCAGCCTTGCACCACAGAACTTCTTTGATCGTGCTCAGGATGGAGATTTAAGAAACAGGCGATGGTACGTTCCGAACAAGGAATCTGGCACCCTCCAGACGGAGGATTACGGGGTCGAACTACCTAACTGCGCGATTAATCTGAGGGAGCCCGAGATTGCGAAAATACTTGCGAAGGAGTAATGAGGTTTTTTTCTTCTTCTCTTCATTCAGATGTATTAGAATAGGAAGGACATGCAAATGACATTTCTTCCATGTCTGTAGGCAGTAAACTATCTACTTTAGTCAACCTAGGTTTTATTTGGCGGCAGTTAAACATTTTAATTTTATGAGGGAAGTGGAAGTAAGACTAAGAATTATTCAATTTTAAACGGCCTAAGTAGATAACTGAATTTGTTCTCTTTTCCTATAAAGATGCTCCTATAGCTAAAGGAAGTCCCATATAGGTACTCCTAAATCAGCCTCGCAATACCCTCACATCTCCCAATCGTCATGTTGCCGCCTAGACAGAGTCACCCCGAGTCACTGGCCTGACCATAGGGATCATTTCTGATTCGATGTCGGAGTCCTGTCTAACAAAGCCAAGTTGTTCATAAAGCTTGACCGTAGATTCCCGTGAGTCGAGGTATAATGGCTGCGTCGCCCCAACTAACTCGGCAACATACTTTACCATTTGCGTACCGTATCCTTTGCGCTGCTGAGATGGAAGCGTAAAGACCAGTTCGACATCTATGTGCTCATTGCGATATATTAGCTTCCTAGTGATTCCTAAGATTGACCGCTATCTTAGGATACTGACAAGTATGCTGTCTATCGCCCATGACTTGATGATGCTGCCCGTCCATGCCGAGGAAAAATTCCTCCATCATTGGGCCGTTCATTCCCTCCCGGGCTGCTGGCCATCGCGTGGTCCATTTTCTTGGTGGTTGTCCGCCGGGCTGTTCAAAAAACAGCAGGACAGAGGCTAAATTACCTATTGGAAGAGATTTAGCCATTTCCAGGTAAACCTAAAAGGATGAGAAAAGCGAGGGCGAAGAGAAACCAAATCTGTACCTTGCTCATCTTTTATCAAGAACAGTCCGGCTGACTCGTCATCGAGGAATGCGGAAAAGGCATCATGAAGATATTTCACACCGACTTCGGTAGGTGGAAACAGTTCGGCAAAATATTCATCATTGAAACAAGCAAGAAATGTGTCTGCTATGCTGGACACATTTTCCAAGGTTGCGGCCTCAATCTCTGGCATAGTGAATCTGTTGAGACACGTAATGTAGGCGAGTTATGAGATGTTTGGGTCAATCAAATGAACATGGAGCTCAGCCACCTATTAGTGTAGTTTATATGGGAATCTTGTAGCCTTAGTGCTGGCATGATCTGCCCCCTTGGACCAGCTAATCCAGGTTTACATGGACCAGGAGGATGAGTGTGATCTTACGCAGAGGGCCCACCCTCCACCGCACGATCCGGCTCTTACCTTACGAACTTGGCTTGATTTTGCGATATCGGACGAATCCGGTTAATTTGGTGAGATTCATCTGGATAAAATTCACAAACCGAAGCTGTCAGCGTTGATCCTTAGTCTCTAATCCTCCCCATAGCCCCTTTTTAAACGCTCTAATATGTCAATGCGTTAGTAGGAATGAAGATAAGGCCCGCCAAGGGTGAAAAGCACAGTCTAGTGTTTTGGTACAAGGGTTTATGAGTTGCGTGGTAGTGCCTGAACAGCAATTGGCCACTACAGCCCATTAAGCAACGTCTATTTTCGATGTGGCGATGTTCAGAATTATGATGATGCTAAAAAGGTTGCCCGTTACGTCTGTTATTCCGAACTACGCTTGAGCATCGGGTAAAGGCGGGATAATAAACATATGCCTCAGTCTTATATACTCTTTTTCTGTCGTGCTTGCTTCGTATGAAGAGTGTAGCAAATACTGAATATGATAAAAGCCCGTTAAGCGAGAAACTGCAACGTGCCACAGATACTGGAACGACCCCCTTCATGGAAAAGTGAACAAAAGGGATTGAAATCCTAGAATGAAAATAACAGGTTTGATAGGGCTTCATGGCGCACTCTCACGCCATGGACAGACCCTGAATTGCGACGATGACGGTATCATCCCGAAATCCCCCACGCCCAATGCCCTGGAAAAACAACTTCAACCCGATAAATTCTCCTCCTCCCTCCCCTACGAATCGCATCTCTCCAACCTCCATGTTCCTAATGTTGTGGCCCCAAAAACCCCAGACGGGACTTTCCTTATGTCCTTCCGCTATAAACTGGATGGCACCCAGACTCATCGAGTCAGGACGCCAAATACGAAGACTCCTGAGCCGCTTCCCGCCTACTTTCCATATCTGGTGACGGTAGTGTGGGACTTGGTCAATCTCTTCTCTGATGCTAGACCCAGTGCTGCACCAATCGCATGTAGAAGGAGATGGAAAGACATCTGGCCCAACTGCTGCCTCTTCCCCGTCAGTATATCTAAATGCAATAGCTGTGATGGGAGCCAAGATAGAATCGTAGGTGCTATGGACCAGCGTCACCCGCATCTCTGCTATAGGGCGACTGCAGTCGAGTCTGCTAACGGTGCATCCCATAGACGGAACTGTTCCGACGATGCGTGGGATCGTGTTGGAATTCTCCTGGATCACCCGTGAGCCCCAGATGGTTCCTGATTCTTTCAAACCCTCCGGCAACATTGATGGCTCCCAATAATAACCACTCGTGTCTTGTGGAAGGGAGGGAAGTGTTGTGATGTCGACGTGGCCCAGTAGTACTGACCCTACGGCACCAACACTCCTAAGCAACCACTGCGCCTTGCCGACTTTCATCCAGCATGCAAAGATGCCACAAGGCATCAAGTTTGTTGACCCATTGGTGAAATGGAGCGGTCCTCGACTACCAACCGACTTTCCAATGGATAGGCAGCGACCGCGATTTGTGAGAAACGTCAAGGAATTTGGGTTTCCCTGGACAGTCGAATGACACTGCACGATGCGCTCTCCGCCCCGTCCATCTACGAGCAATGTCTTCATTGCCTGGAAGCGAAAACCCACCGCACGACTTGGGCGGTGGCCGTACGCAACTTGTATTCCCCCAAGGTGTATATCAATGGATATACTAGTAATATCAGCCAGCTCTTCCTCAGATGTCCCGAACATGAGGAGCTCCATTGGATTCTGGTCGATGAACCCCAAATAAGAGAACCGATCAACGCTGGCCTGGGACAACCGCACATGCAGAGGAGGGAGTTTTTTACACCAAGAGTACTCCATGGTGGAAATGCTGTACCTGTCCCTCGAGGTGTCGACGATGCGCTGGCAGCCCTCTGCGTACTCCGAGGGCTGCTCGACCAAGCCCATCCGTGTGAGAATTCCCTCATCTGTGCGGTATGGCTTCAGCGCAACAATGAACCTATCGGGTGAGCTGACGTAAAACAGACGCTTGTCACCCTGGTCTGAGCCTAGCTTCACGGGAGACTGCTTTGCGAAGAGAATGTCTAAACCAAAGATGTAGCGTTCCTCTCCTCTGCCCTCGACCAATTCTTCACGGGTTGTGAAGATCAGACCCGTGAGCCAGTCGTCATCGGGAATGTGGATCGTTTCGGTGTGATCTGGCGTAAGCCTTTGCCCCTTGGTAGGGTTGTGATGGCCATTCTTAAGAAGGTGGATATCGATGAGATGCTCACTTGCTGCCCAGTCCACCACCAGCGAGATATCTGCAGACGGGAGATCGTCGAAGAAGTCTATCATGTTCTCGGTGATTGGCCTAGTCCCGCCAACTTCCGGGCATCCCAGCTGTCTTGGTGTCGTTTCAAATGCGTCCTTGAGAGCGAGAGGCTTCGTGCTCCCCCAGGCTTTCACATTTGCGGCGAACTGGATGTATTCTTCGGCGAATACGGGGCAGAGTTGGGTCCATATCCTTCTTCTGTTACACAGGCCAGGTATTCTGTTGTGTTTTCTTGCATAGGGCCTGCTCCCCCAGTCCAGTCTATGATAGACTTTCTTCCAGTCGACGTCATGCAGCTGGGAGAATGTCGGTGTTGGGAGATCCCACAGCCAAGGCATATCGTCTTTCAAGCGTTTCCTCCAGAAGCCATTGCTCAACTCAAGATTGGCGAATGCGGGGGATGCCTGTCGGAGACTATACAAAGTTGTGACCTCTTTGAGGTGAGACGTGATGAGGAGTAAGATATCGGGTGGGAATTTCGCAAAAGTATCGCCTCTGGTGTCGTATATCCTCAACTCACTCACGACCTCTGCTTTGCGTAGAGGGAGGTTGTGGTACAGCTCCCTCAGCCCCTTGACGTCGACAGGATCACACACGTAATGCTCCGCGTTTCGTTCTGCCCCCCAGTACTGCTCCATCTTGTCGCTGATATCGCCATAGTGTATGTTCAGAGATCGGCCAGACTGGTCATCTGCCGCCTTGCTCTTCAGCGTGTCGAAGAAGATCTCCTTGTCTAATTCGGGGACGCCAACATAGCGGGAAAGCACTTCGCGGCAGCGCGTGTGGAATGGCGCACACCATGGATCATCGGCTTCCCAGGCGTATCTGTTGATTCGGCATGAAACATGAGCTAATGATCTTGACAGGCCTTAAGATTGCCCCGGGTTTCGCCCCGCTAGAGAAGGACTTACACGCTGATGCTCCCCCCGTTCTGCAAGGCTGCGAGCGCAGGGTCTGGAGCCTCCCCCAGCTCGTAGTTCATGGTCCCATAGTCATCATTTACCGCCGGGCCGGAAACCCATACTCTAGTGACACAAGTCAGCCGTCCAGCTGTCCAACGTGCCCCTGTAGCCATTGACTTCGGCGGCCTCTGAGCTAGAGGTGCCGGCAAACCTACTTGGACTGGGCGTCACTGGCCGGATTCTCGCCGATGATGCGGTTGTCCTGGAGCCAGGCCAGCTGCGGGTCGTCAGGATCACGTAACACATCGGGATCGTATTTGTAGTCGTCGTCGTCCTCCGAGTCCCAATAGACTACGCCAAAGGGCCCACCGCAAAGGGCACAGTAATAATCCCATCCACCCATAATCTGCGGGTCAAGAGTCTCTCAGGAGACGTGCTGGCTTCTCTGGATGGGGCGGGCTCCAGCTGCGCGCGTTGCGCGAGGGCTGGGAGGGGAGTTTCGTTGTTCTGCGCCGTGACTTTGCTCCTCTCTGAAATTTTTCACTCAGACGGACGGACAGCCTCGGGTTCTACCGCATGGCATATTTCGGGAGGGGATCCAGAGTGCGCGCTGCCTGCTTACCTATGATGCTCCGGCTAAGCCTCGGGCACCAACAATGTTGATCGATTCACTGCTTAGCCGTGGGAAATCAATGTGACAGGGGGGTGGGTTGTAAATATGGATGAGGTGTCTGCGGCTTGGGCTTGAGCCACTTGCTGGTCACCGCGGTGAAACTGACCGCCACACTGGGCACTTTGCTTTTTCCACGCGCATGAGCCTTGAAAATCATCTCAATCTCACCTGCATTTCATTCTCAAAGGGGCCTGTGCATGAAATGGGCGCTCATTTTAGGTACAGGATTGCGTGGCGAGCGCGTCCGTGCTTCCCACCTCCTATTTATACGCATTCATTTCATCATCCATCCATGGTACCGGGACCTGGTTAGATATTCCCGATGAAGTGAGCCAATATTAAGCCGGCGTTCATCATATTTCTCATTAGAGCTCATGGCGGGACCCCGGCAGCCAATATTAGATGCATATCGCTACCTACTATACCCTCCAGCTCACGCTGCAAATCGTACTATGAGTGGGTTCTGTTTACCGGGTCAAAATATGGGGGAACATCCGGAGAGATGAAAAATCATTTGGGCCAAATGTGGCTTTCAATTCGGAACGACGGCTGAATTAGGGTCCCCTCGATACACCCCTGAAACGACTACTGATGCAATGCATGGTCACTACGGCCATCTATTCCGTCTGACAAATAGGATGGCTAGAAGTGCTTTGATTTTTCATGAACTAGATAACATATTCGAGATGAGTGATCATAGTGATAGACTTGACACAGCGTTTGTTTGAGCTCATTTTGCTCACCAGGTTTATGACTGCGTGCAACCTTTCTTCGGCTAGCCTGGCCACCGGACGAAAGAATACGTCGAATAGAATGTGAACACGTGAAGAGACGCCATTTCCCCTAAATCTCTTGGCATCGACAATACCACTGAGCTGAGTTGTTGGGTACTCATAGGTCACGTGGTTACACGTTGCTGCCTTCATCCAGATCACATTATTTCGAAATCTTGACCAACCAATGCTAAAAGTGAAATACTACCTTAACAAAGATGGTACATTTTCCCACTCGTATTATTTCGATGATGGCTAGCAGTATCAAGTGGTGATCTAGTGTTATGGTACCGCCGATCTGGCTTGCCAACTTCTCATGTGACTCAGCAAGGGGTAAAATTGATTTCATCCAGAGCCATGAACATAGGGCTGGCCTTGAATATTTCTCATTAGTGATGACGTCATCTTTCTATTCTCGCTCACAAGCAGTACGTCCTCTAAAAGCCTTCCGTCATCAATCGTTGTCCTCTCCATCCTGTCACGTTGTAGACTATATGGGCAATCATCAATGTTCGTTCTTTTCCCAGACCACCTCAATGCAAGGAGGTACAACGCATGTATATTTCTTTCATTAGCCGATTTCAGGCATATTTTACGAGGTTCAGAAAAGGATAGGAAACCGACCCTAGAACGTAATGGTGTAGTGTGGTTGATGTAGCACATACCATGTAACCATTCCGTCTTACATCACTAACAACTAAATTGAAAAAATTAGCAGCTTTGTATTCTCATCTGAGGGCACTACCTAATTAAGCTTATTTTTTTCATGGCCCAATTTGCATGCCGCTCCCCAAGTCGAATGATCTCTCCTAACACCTAGGGTCCTGAATATCGACTCCTGTCACAATCCTTTCTTTCCCTGCCAATATTATATCTCACCACATAAGTCCCATGCTAAGCTCTCCATCTAAGCGACCTTCCGCCGGGCGCGTCATCTTCTACCACCATGATCATAGGGAGGTGTAGGGCGGTAGCTGGATAACGGAAGAGGTGAAACATCAAATTGGAGGGCAGTTACTAGCAGAACACTTTCTACAAAGAATAGAATGATCTAGAAACATTGCAATAGAACTTGGCAATGCTTAGTTTTCTATCTCTTCGGTGTTTATTATTAGCCCCTAACAATCTAACATTAGTCGCGCACTCACAGGCAAACAGGATAATATTTGAGTGTCGTGACTTCAATATCACACAGTTTGTTCGTCCAAGATCTTTCCTTGTCCATGAATAGATAGGGAGAGATCAGTAGTCCGAGCTACGAAAAGTTAATGGACTAGGGTTGAAAGTGCTCTCCTTTGTTAACTGTTTTACGAACCCCGTCTTCCTCTCATTCGTATAGCATTGCTCAAGTCTGGTAACCTTGAGCCACCATAACGTCATCCGTTTTCGCCCTGGATCTCTTACAGGCAAGTAATACAAGACGCTCCAACACTGAATGGCCGATTACTTGTGTGCTCGTGGCGGCTACGGGCACATGTCTCGCGCTTCGGGGTCATTTGAGTGGAGATGCTCCTCGAGACGAGGCTCTTTACCCCACCGGATCAAGTTCAAGAGGAAAGCTTTCTCCAATCTCCAACTTGATTATTCAATCGCTCTAACTTACCGAATCGTTTTCAATCACTTAATACCCTGTCCGAGATGGGATCGCAATGGTTAGAAGCAGTGCTCTCGGCCCCAGAGCCGCCGGAAGGCCTAGATCTGCTTCAAGCCGCTGTCTCAGCACAGCAGCAGAACGCGGCTACAGCACCTACATCTGAAATACCACTCTCAAGCCGCATCGACAGCCTTCAAGCGTCTATATGGACTGACCTCACCATCACAAACCGCCAACAGTGCATCAACGAACTCGACCGAGCATGGTCCGGCCGTGGGTGGATTCCGCCGTGGCCACAAGCTGACCTCACCGGCTCCGGCACCGTCTGCACTCTTGACACACTCCCCTCAACAGATATTCTCAACCTCGCAACCATCACTCGGCTATGTTCCCATCATCATATAAGTCTCTTGTCGCTCTGGGAACCAGGAGGGATTATTTACGAGATTGCAAGACGTGCCTCCGCCGGCTTGTCGTTCATGTGGTCACAGGAACTGTGTCGGCAGGCTGTGTTAGAGGCATACCACAGATACGGCCCAATGCCCTCACACAAGCGTCCACGGCGGTTGGAAGCCGAGGCAGCTCTTGATGACTCCTATGAGAATAATGCGTCCAAACGCCAAGGGACGAGCTCTCGCGGGGGCCGTTCTTCCTCCTCATCACCCATTCTAAGTCGCGAAGATGGCTCTTCAAGGCAAGCTGCTACCATCGACGAGGCGCTAAAAGAGGCCAAATATCTGCAAAAGCAACTTCAGGCTTTCCAGGTAACGCTCAAAGAGCATCTTCATGGATTTCCGCGTGCTCACCAAGAACTCATGAAAGCTGAGGCCGAAAATATGCAACATGAACTGCAAAAGGCGCAGGCGGAGTGTGATCTGGCGGATCAAGAGGTTAAGAGCTGTGACGAAGAATACAAGTCTCTCCAGCAAGGCTCACATGCTGCAACAAGCCGCTACAGCATGCTCAAAGAATGGCTAGAGCCAGTCCTCTTGGTGAACCAGACGCAGATACAGGCAGAAGCGTCGGCGTCTATGCTCCCCGACCCAGGACTTCAAGGTGCGATGGAAGCTGTATCCACGATGGCACAGAAAACATTGGAGAAATACGAGGGCGAAATCTCAGGCGAAAGGACCATTGCTTGCGTGTCTGAGGTGCTCGATCGAGCTCGAGCGGCCCGAACGAGACAGAATGAAGCGCATGTGGCGTTAAAGGAGGCTCAAAAGAATGTGGACCATATCAACTCTCGTTTAGAGCTAGAGACACAAAGGGTCGTGGTTGAGAAGATGTTGCACGGCGCAATCAGCATGCTAGATTTAAATCGACCTGGGTGAGGGTGTCCTTTTATACTCATTTTAAATACTTTCTCTTATCGCATTTATACGTGCCTGGGAACAATTTCTCACGACTCGAAAACGCAATTACACATATGATAAAGGCAATGCAAGTATCAGACGTACTGCCATTGTGACGTATAAAATCTGCATAGTGCTATCTTATTTGTCGAGGCTGACCACCACTTTTCCAACTTGTTTCCCTTGCCAAATAAACTCAACCGCTTCCTCGGACTTATCAAAAGACCACACAGAGTCCAGAATCTCATCAAATGTCATTTGCACGGCCGAGATTGCTGCCATGAGCTCGTCCTGATCGTCTTTTGACCCGGCATTTATGCCCCTAACACCGGTTAGCCGCCTAATTGAGAATTCCCAGTGCTAAATGGATTTTTACCTGACGTTTAGTCTTCTGTCAATAATCGTGGAAACAAATTCCTTCAGGTGTTCAGGCTTAGGTCCTCCCAGATAGCCAACCTGGCTAACAATGCCTCCCCGACGAGTACACAACATACTCTTGACAAGCGAGCTGCTCCCGCCATTTTCTACTACAAGATCAACACCCACGCCGTTGGTGAGTTTGAGAACCTCCTCGTGCCATTCGGGGTTCTTTCTGTAGTTGACAGTTTGGATCTCTGGCTTGGTGAATTGTGCTTTGATGCTTTGGAGTTTTTCATCGTCGGAAGATGTCAAGATAACCTTGAGCCCGGATGCTTGTGCTAATTTCAACGCGAACGTCGACACTCCGCCAGTACCTTGAAACGGGGAGTTAGCATTGAATCTCACATAGAGTAGAGTTAATCACCTTGAATCAAAACAGTCTGGCCGATAGTAGCTCCCTTGAGAGCTGACCACGCCGTAGTGCCAGCACATGGGATGATGCTGGATTGAATCCAATCAAGGTGATCGGGAAGTTTGGTCACCAGCTTCTCGTCAAAAACCAGATGGCTGGCCAACACTCCGTCTTCATTCGCGGCGAGCCACGACCGTCCGGTTGATTTAGAAGTAAGATATGCCGAATCCGTGATGGGAGCTACCCGATCACCAACCGAGACCAGCGAGACTCTCTCGCCTACCGCAATGATTTTTCCGGCAGCATCGTTTCCGGGAATGCCATTCGGGATCACGGGCCACGGGTTACCGCCGTTGGCAATGTTAGCATCACGATAGTTGAGTGCGACTGCGTGAACCTCAATCAGAACCGCTGTCGGATGCAATGGCAGAGGCAGATCCTCGGTCACGAGCTTGAGTTTTGGTGTCCCGGATGTGAAGTCGTCAGTTCGACGGAATGCCTGGCGAGTCGTAAGGGAAGGCATTTTTGTTGTTGAGTATGCAGAAACCAAAGAGTGATGTTGTCAATCTTTCAACCACAATGGTAAACCTAGTAAATCAAATTAATCACGTCCTGTTTACTAATATTTTTGTTCTCTCTTGGTATTTTATTTCTCTCTGGATTATCTGCATTTATAATCAATGATGCAAGCCCTTATTATAAAGCAACCTACTTACCTTCTCGGGAACGTTTGCCGATCCCAGATGTACGCCATCTTGATCTGGGAATTTGCAAGAGAACCGACACCCACTCAGCGAGCCAAAGAAGTAGCCTCCAATGATAATTCAATCCTGAGTGTCGGCAGCAGACTTGTTGAAAACGGATGATCCAGCGAGAGCCACAACCTTTGCAGCGACGAGTCAGGGCATCACGTTGCTATTTTTTTATTAACAGCTCGCGTCTCCCGATCGCGGGGTGAGGGGAATTTGTCGATCACGCTAGAAAATGAAACGCGACAGCTGCGGTCTGAGTGGGAATGAGGATGTAGATTGATGAGCGCGCGGTACGTTCCACTGAACCCGGCGGGTGATGAGTACGTGGTCGCTTCATCGCTTTTCGACCAAGTAGAAATACGGGTTCCATTAAGGTAAGCATTTTATGCGACGAGAATAAACTTGCGAGCATGCTTCAAGAAGATGGAGGGAGCTGACCTAAGGGTCGATAGGTGGGAAGTGACCCAGACAGTGCAACCTTAGAGAGAGACTGCGAAGGTAAATATCTAGAATTGGAGATAAGCAATGATAGAATCATGTGGCAGCGTGTAAATATTTTCAATGTTGGGCAGAAAAAAGCTAGATTATCAGCCAGAGACACTCAAATTTTAGAGCATGGTCTATCACGCACGGAAGCAGTTTAAAGTAAAGGGCATCCATTAGTCGAAGGATCTTAGGCAAGGAAGAGAGAATCCTCCTGAAAAACAATGACATAAGAAGGCCTTGAACGATTAACAATCATAGTGCAGGCATCATGACGATCACAGAAGAATGCATCAAAGGCTACAATGAGAAATGGAGCGGCAAATACCTGCAATGCCACGCAGTGTTTTTAATGTCATCAATGACGCTGTCTACATATACAAAGAATCGAAGTTGCCATCTCCCTTCTCCCGTTTTTCAAGTTTTAAGTCTCAAAGTGAACCAGAAGCCGGCTAAATTTTACAAGAAACAAAGACCTCGTTAGAACTGATCTAGTGGCGGTGGCCAGCATGGCGGTGCATGAGACGCTCGTGCTCGTGTCGGCGGGCGTGAGCGGCCTGGGACTGCACGGCGCCAGAGGCCGGGGCGGTCACGGTCACGGTCTCGTAGACGGTCTTGAGAGCGCAGGTGGACTTGGGCTTCTTGGTCTTGGTGGAGGAAGACTGCGATGCGGCGACGGATGAGGACTGGGGGGCTCCCGAGGTCTCGACCTTGACGGCGGAGGATGTCGAGACGGCAGGGTTCTCGATGACCTTGGTGGCGTCGTCGCTGGAGCCGGGCAGACCGCTGGATGCGCCCTGGGCTGAGGAAGAGGCAGCGGATGCGGAGGAAGACGAGCCCGAGGCGGCGGCTGAGGCAGAGGTGGATGATGAAGCAGCCGAGGATGACGAAGCTGGGGCAGTGGCGGAAGCAGCAGCTGAGGAAGAAGAGCTTCCGCTGGGCTGAGGCTGAGGGTTGGTGCCAACGCCCCATCCAGAGATTGGGTTGTTGCCGGGAAGCTGGTCCAAGACGCCGCCGATGATCTCGTCAACTGGTGACTCAATGGTACATTGCTCCTTGTTCTCCTCGACGCCGGGGCACTTGAGCATACCGTTGTTTCCGGTGTTGCAGTTGTCGATAACGTTCTGGAGGATGTCAGTGTCCCAGCCGGCCATGAAATCGGCGTGCCAGCTGTATCCGGTACGGTCACCAGAGGCGAGGACGAAAGGCTGGGGTCCATTGCCAGAATGGTCCCATCGGTCCTTGAAGAGGGGAGTGTTCCAGTAGACCTCCATGAAGAGATGGGGCACGTGGATCTCATCCTCAGCACAGTCTTGGTAGCCGCCGTTGACACTCTTGGGCCAGTTCATGTTGTTCTTGTAGTCCTTCAAGTCGGCATTCTTCTTCAAGCAAGAGGGGAAGTGGATGTCCATTCGAAGCGGTGCGGCGTAACCGTCGCAGTTTCTGAAGGGGAAGCCAACACCGGCACCCGGGTTGTTGGCGCTGCCAATGCCGGCATTTGTGCCGTCCGAGTCGACGGGCCACGAGGGGCCGGTGGGATACTTGTTGTCGTCGGTGACCTTCTCGTCACGGGGGCAAGTGACGTGAACGTTGCTGATCTCCTGGCCTGAGCCAGTGGTGAGAATCTCCTCGGGGGTCGGGGGAGGAGTACGCTTCGCGGGGTCGCCGACGAGCATGTTGAGGCCGACTGGGAATGCCTTGATCACATCATGTGTCTTCTCGAAGCTGGGGATTGTTAAATTAGTACTCAGACAAGATATACCGAGAGCGGCGAACAGAAACACGTACAAGTAGTAGACCTTGGGGTAGAAAACCTCGACGGGTTCGAGCTTTCCGGTTTGGGGGTCCTGGAAGTACAGCAAGGGGAACCAGTAGTTGCTCATGTCACCCTTGACATTGGCATTGGTGCAGTTTGACTTCAAGAGGTCCTCTCCGGTCGAGGACATGCCGAAATTGCTACCTCCGAGGATAGTGTGGACATGGGAGGCAATCTTGCCGGGAGAGACAATGGGGTCAAGACGGGCTTGGAGAATCTGCTTGTTGGTGAACTGCACAGTGGCGAAAGTCCTGCCTTCGTTGTAGCCAAAAGCAGAGGCCGTGGCCACAAGAGATGCCGCAAAGGCGGCAGTCGTGGCGGTCTTCATGGTTGAGTCTCGAGACAAAGAGGTGTTTCTAAAACGTAAAACGGTGGTGGGTTAGGATTGTCGGTCCAGCTGCTGTTGAAATGTTGGTTCTGTTGGGAGCAGAGCGCCTAGGAAGAGAGTGTGAAATGCGGCTAGCCGTAAATGAAGCAAAAGAACAGCGCTCGTAACTTGAGGCTGTACAATATCTATTGAACGAACAAGAATGAATGGACAGGGCAGTGCTCAGCAGCCTGGTTTGTTGCCTGGACAAGAAAAAAAGAAGCGGTTGAAGGAGCAAGAAGGGCAGAGGGGAGTGGATCGTACATATAAGAGTTGCATCGAAGCGTCTCCCACTTGCTACGAGCGGCCGAAGCGGCAGTTCATCAACAAGGTCGGCGTCTGTGAGTCTCCCCAGCGTTAGCATCAAACACAAAGCATCCGGCCCCCTGTCCCGAGGGAGCTGCCCCTCTCCTACAGCGACTCCCGCCGGCTTAGACAAAACGTGGTGATTGGGCCTATCGTTCCATTGAGTGTCTGATTGGCTTGACGACGTGTTTTGATGGAGAATGGCCAGGGAGCCTTGTCATGATGGGATCAGGGGTCGCGATTCTCCCTGAAGCCGGCTCGAATGAGATTTCCAAAAGCAACACCTTGATCTGAAATATACAAAGCAATCAGACGCGTGTAAGAGGCCGCATCCAATGCAATATGATGGAGGGTATCGTGTACGGCGTCTACCAAATGTTTCTTGCCACGAATTCGATATGCCAGTTTAACTTCCAGCCGACATGAGCTGAGGACTGGAAGCGCCCGCAACCCTCTTCCACGCACCCGCTTACAGAGGACCTC